TCATTCATTCATTCATTCATTAATGCCTTCATTTTGTACAGTTTGGGCATCTTGGTGTATAAGCGCTGTATCTGGCCATTTGACCTGTCCCCTGAATGCACAGGGTGTCCTAAGAAGGTAGATAGGCAATTACGATGAAATGATAAATACATTCATAGAAGAGGCCCTGAAAAAAAAAAAGAAGAAGAAGAGGCCCTGGCCAGGTGTGAGGGATGCAGAGAGGCTTTTGGGGAGATGGGCCTTGTAAGCTGGGGTTTAAAGGACAAGAAACACTTCGGCCAGAGCACAAAGAGGGGTTTTATTGAGATGAGGGAGTCCAAGTACTCCTCTGGCTCATTCAGGTCTCTATTCAGGGCCACCTTTGTTCCCTCCAATCCCAGATGGCACCTTCCCTCACTCTCCATTCCCTTCCTTGTGTCCCTGCCCAAGATGGCACCTGCCCTCACTCTTCATTCACTTCCTTATCTCCTCACCCAACATGGCACCTCCGCTCACTCTCTATCTCCTTCCTTGACTCCTCATCCAAGATGACACCTCCTCTCATTCTCTGTTCCCTTTCTGTGCCTCTGTTCCTGTCTATGCACACACCACTACCTGGCCAGAGTTAGATTTTTGTTTCCTATCTTTACTGCTGACTAGCACTAAGATACCAGCCCCTGAGGGCAGAGACTTTGTTCATGGATGTATCCATAGCCCCTAGAACAGGACCAGACCTTTAACAGATGGTTAGTCACTTATTTAGCTAAACAAAGGCATGAATGAAGTGAGTTCAGGCTGGCCCGAGCAGAGCGGATATGGGGAATCTCTGAACGGCAGCCTTGGCTTCCTGTGCCACAGCCAGCCCCTTCCTATTATTTTGACCTGACACCCTGGACTCTGCCTGGCTTGCTTGGAGACCCAAAACATTCTCCAGTCTCACTTCTCTCTCTACTCACGACCCCACACTGAGGTTTCTGTTGGAGGCCAGCCTGGTGTGGCCCACTGCCACCGTGACAGGCTGCTGACAGAGGCGAGGCAGGTCTGTGAGAAATCAGGGCTGACATCTCAGCTTCGGCCAACCCACCCAGGGCATGCCCCCAGCCAGGGGCCAGGCCTCATTTGCTGCTGCTGGCTCCAGGTTAGCTTGTCATTCCCGCTCCCTGGGGAGTTCCTCGTCTCAGACCCAGTCTCTGCCTTCCAGCTTCTCTCCATGTTTTCCTTCTCCAGGATTCCTGTGTTCTGTTGCTCATCCTCAGCCGTTTTTGACAGCCTGGTAGGAGCTTGTGTTTTCAGCAAATCCATATGGGGAGAATGGTCAGGGATGAAGAATGTGTAGAAAATGCCATTTAACATTTCAAGAAGCCTTTCGAAGTCATCCATCTGTGATCTTTCAGCGCCTTGAGGATGGTGTGGTTTTCTGGTGACTTCTTTGGTTCCCCAGTGCAGAAAACTCTGGGGTTTCCCCAGCCCAGGCCGCACATAACAGACTTGTGGCCAATTCTAACTCCTGCCCTTCCTCGTGTGGTACAGATGTGGGGCTATATCAGTTCTGCCATCTTCTCCAGGAACCTGTGAAGGTCACAGTCATTGGAAGGGGGGATCTCCTAGCCCACCTGCCCCAAAAAAGAAAAAAATAGTCCAAAGGTACAGTACTTAGTGGGCACAGAACCTGATCTGATTTGCTGTTTTCTCTGGCAGTTCCCATAAGGGTCTTTCTGCATCATGTCACTTGCTTGTCACCATGTCATAGTACGGTGATTTCACTACCACCCTACAGGTCCCAGGTGGTTTCTGACTGAAAGAGAGAGAGAGAGGCAACTTTTACCTCTTCCACCTTTTTCCTGGCTTTGGAATCACTGAACACTGGAGCTGGAGAAAACATTACAGATCATCTACTCCTGTCACTCCCAAATGCCTGTCCATGTCATTGGGACACTTGTAAAATAAACACTGATCCCTAACTCCCACCACCAAGACTCTGATCCAGTAGGTCCAAGTGGGCCCAGGAATCTGCATGTCACAGGCATTCCTAATGACTCTGATGTGTGACCAGATTTAAGACCCAACGACCCCTCCAGTATCTTGTCAAGTGAGGGAGTTCTGGTTCCCAAGGGTTGAAGTCTACTACCCTGTCACTGGATGGTGAAAGGACCTTGGAAGAAACATGAGGGGACCCGTTGTTCTCTGACACTAACAATGAGTATGACCTGATACTATAAATTCCCAGCCAGACCTTGGCTTTGAGATGATCTTAAGTCCTGTTTCAGCTGCTCTGGTATTCTTCGAGTCCCCCAAATATTCCCTTGGAGAAATAACAGAATGCTTTGTACTGCAAAGGAATGAATCTTCATTCATTCATCTGTGTAGCACATTTACTGTTCATTCCTAGAGCCAGGCTCTGTGCTAAGTGGACTTTATGGATATGAATGTGTAGTGTTTCAGCAATTAGAGGAGAAACAGCCTAGGATTTGCTGAGGATCAGCAGTGAGCCAGGCACCATGCTAGAGCCCAATACACATGATTTCATCTATTTTTAAAAAGATTTTATTTATGTATTTATTTTATGGGGGGAGATAGGTGTGGGGATGGGGTAACTAGGTGATGGGTATTAAGGAGAGCACGTGATGTAACGAGGACTGAGTGTTATATGCAACTGATGAACCACTGAACTCTACCTCTGAAACTAATAATGCACTAAATGTTAATTGAATTTAAATAAAATTAAATTAAAAGAATAAGAGAGAGAAAGAAAGATCATGAGTCGGGAGGGAGCAGAGGGAGAGGGACAAGCAGACTCCACGCTGAACACAGAGTCCTATATAGAGCTCAATCTCACAACCATGAGATCGTGACCTGAGCCGAACTCAAGAGTAGGACACTCAACCGACTGAGCCACCCAGGTGCCCCCACATGATTTCATTTAGTCTGCATGGTAGTGCTATGTGTTGTCCGCATGGCCAGAGTTGGGAACATACCCTTAGAGAGAGTGTGAGTCTTTCATAAAGTCATTCATGTAGAAAGAAGAGCCTTCTATGTGCCAGGTACTGTTCTAAGTTCTTCATGTATTGCCACATCTCACTGATTCTATGACACACAATTTCACATCTCTGAAGCCTAGAAGCATCTAGCAATTGACATAATTTGCCACTGTAACTAGCAGAACTTTTTCCTTCTTAGTAGCATGTACAATAGTGACATGCCTTCCAAAAAATGGCATCTTTGATTTGATGAATTACTGTCTCCCACTTATAGATAGTGAGTGGCAGGGATAGAATTCACAACCAGGTCAGTCTGGCTTCACACTTTCATGCTCACAGCCCAGTGGGAAATTAGGCTGAGACACTTCCTGGGGACCTCCCCATCCTACCATGCTGCATAGCAGGGCCACCTGCTAGGACAGTCTGGATGCTCTCTTGCTTTTCTCTGTTCCCGCTTCCCCCTCCTCCCTGGCAGGCATGACTGCTGGTCACCAGATCCCAAAAGGTGGAGAGAAATCCAGCAGTCACATTCCTTTGGGATTTACCTAAATGAGTTAAAAACTTACATCCACACAAAAACCTTCACAGGAGGGTTTATAACACCTTTATTCATAATTGCCAGAACTTGGAAGCACATGTCCTGTGGGAGGTGAATGGATAAATAAACTGTCGCACATCCAGACAATGGAATATTATTCAGTGTTCCAAAGAAATGAGCTGTCAGGCCACACAAAAACATGGAGGAACCTTACATGCGTGTTACTAGGTAAAGGAAGTGTAACTGGAAAGGCTGGATACTATATGACTCCAACTGTGTGACATTCTAGGAAAGGCAAAACTATGGACAGTAAAGAGATCAGTGGTCATCAGGGGCTGGGAAGTGGGGCGGGATGAATAGGAGGAGAACAGATGATTTTTAAAGCAATAAAACTGTTCTGTATGATACTATAATGGTAGGTACATGTCGTTAGACATTTGTCCAGACCCATAGAATGGACACCAAGACGAACCCTAAGGTAAATAGTGGACCTTGGGTGACAATGACATGTCAGTGTACGTTCATTGATTATAACAAATACACTGCTCTGGTGTGGGATATTAACAGTGGGGAAGGCTGTGCTTGTGTAGGGGCAAAGAGACTTGGGAAAATTTTTTTTTAATTTTAATTCAATTAATTAACATATAATGTATTATTGGTTTCAGGGGTAGAGGAGTGATTCATCAGTTGTATATAACACCCAGTGCTCGTTCCATCACATGCCCTCCTTAATGCCCATCAGCCAGTTACCCCATCCCCCACCACCTCCTCTCTGGCAACCCTCAGCTTGTTTCCTATAATTAAGACTCTCTTATGGTTTGTCTCCCTCTCTGATTTCATCTCATTTTATTTTTCCCTCCCTTCCCCTATGATCCTCTATTTTGTTTGTTAAATTCCACATATGAATGAGATCATCTGATAGTTGTCTTTCTCTGATTGAGTCATTTTGCTTAGCATAACACCCTCTAGTTCCATCTACGGATATGGGAAATTTTCTGTGAACTTAAAACTGCTCTGAAAAAATGAAGTCTATCTTTTTCAAAAGATGTCATTTATTGATTTATTTACTAGAGAGAGCGAAAGAAAGAGAGAGCTTGCACACTCATACCAGAGCAGGAAGAGGAGCAAAAGGGGAAGGGCAGGGAAAGAGAAAGGGAGAGAATCTTAAGCAGACTCTGTGCTGATCACAGAGCCCCACGCAGGGCTCCATCCCACAACCCTGAGATGGTGGCCAAAACCAAGGGTCAGAGGCTTAACTGAGTCACCCAGGAGCCCCAGAAAAGGAAGTCTACTGAAAGAAAAAAGGAAAAAAAAAAAAAAAAGAAAGGGTAGAGAGAAGCAGGCAGATCCAGGACAGGGGTGAGAGCCCAGGGTTTCTGCTGGCAATGGTCCTGGTCCCCTCTGCCCTGCGCAGGGGTGGAGTGAGGGGCAGAGGAAAGTCAGGGCAGGTCCCTGGGCAGCCCCGGTGTGTCCAGAGCACAACGGTGACTACAGGCTGCTCCCAGCAGGTAGCGTGGAGGCCGTGATGATCCGCCTGGTGAATGGCTCCGGGCCACACGAGGGCCGCGTGGAGGTGTACCACGAGCGGCGCTGGGGCACCGTGTGTGACGACGGCTGGGACAAGAAGGATGGCGACGTGGTGTGCCGCATGCTGGGCTTCCGTGGTGTGGAGGAGGTGTACCGGACAGCTCGATTTGGGCAAGGTAAGTCCCCTGGGGGAGGAGGACACGGGGAGAGGGCCCAGGAATCCTGGCACAAGTCCTCTCCACGGCAGTCCCGCCAAGTGTCACCTGGCCTCTGCACTCCAGCCCTGTACTTCCTGCAGCGAGAGGCTCGCTGTCCCCCAGGCAAGCTGGTATGTCCCCACACAGTTCTGATTATTAGAACAGTCTCCCCTTTCTCGAATTGACTCCCTTTTATTTCTCATCTCATCACACTCCCCTACAGGCCCTCGTTGGCAGCCCTGTGACTCAGGCACAAACACTCTCCCACTTGCCTCTGACATTTTTGTGATGGGGCACAGCGAGGGCTGAGTGCTTAGATAGCTCCCATTGTGTCCAGGCTCTGTTCTAAACACATTACTCATATTCACTCATTTCGTCTTTACAACACTAGGAAGTAGATACAGATGCAGCCCTGTTTTCCAAATGAGGAAACAGAGGCACAGAGAGGTTGAATGACTTGCCTGAGGTCACACAGCTAGCAGGTGGCAGGGCCTGGATTCACACCCTAGCAGGTGGCTTAGGAGGCCAGGCTCTTATCCATTGCGCTGGCTGTCTCTGACCCTCTCTGAGTTCTTTCTTCTTCAGGTGAACATCTCCAGTAATTCCATCTTGTCTTCATGTCAAGACAGGATCTCAAAAGCCTTCACCATTTTGGTTGCTTTCCTTTCAACAGGTGGTATAAGACGCTGTGAGGGAGGGGTGCAGACCTTCTCCAGGCAGACAGCTGATTTGAACCATCCATCCCTTTTCTGCTTCGAGAAGGATAGCTCTACCCCAGCTGCGGCCCCTTCCACGGCACTGTGTCTGTCCCTCAGGCCAGCTCTCTGTATTAGTCTGCTCAGCCGCTGTAACAAATAGCACAAAAACAAACAAACAAACAAAAACAAATAGCACAGACCTGTGCTTTAACAACAGAAAGTATTTTTCTTACAGTTCTGGAAGGTCCACAATCAAGGTATCAGCAGGTTGGGGTTCCCCTGAGGCCTCTCTCCTTGGATTGTACTTGGCTGTCTTCTTCCCATGTCTTTACATGGTCTTCCCTCTGTGTGTCTCTGCCTCCTCTTCTTGGAAGGACACAGTCCTATCAGATCAGGACACCACCCCCATGACCTCATTTTACCTTAATCACCTCTTTAAGGGGCCTGTCTCCAAACACAGCCACATTCTGAGGTGCCAGGGCTTAGAACTTCAACTTAATAATTTGAGGGAACACAATTCAGCACATGGCACTCTCTATACCTTGGCGTGCTTGCTGTGACCACCACCCAAGCTGATAGGAAGGTCTACACACAAAATGGGATCACTTATTACACACCACTGGCATGTGCTGAAAACATCCACAGCACCACCTACACTTCCACACTCGAATATAGCATTCACATTCACATGTGCTTTTTCCTCCATCAAACTGTGAACTTGAAGAAACCTGTGTGGACTCACAACTAAAACAATAGTCCCATGTGCACAAATGCAGTACTCCCCACACCCATCTTAAAGTGTGCTGACCCGTGGCTCTGTGATCTTGTTGCTTCTTCACTGTGGGTCTTGGCGTCCCCATCTGTAACTTAAAAGGACTTGTGGATTCTGTGATGTGCCTTCCAGCTTGAGCCCCTTGGGATCTGAAACACTCCTGCTCACCTGTCAAGAGGACCTAAGTTCTGACAGGTGTGGGGAGGGATTTGGACTGACCCACTCACACTCAGTTGCCAGGTCCCCCTCATGACCTGCGGAGGAGCAGCTGGCCCTGCTGTGGGGGCTCCTTGTGTCATTGGAGTGGAGCCAGGCATGTTCGCTGTCTTGCCTGACACCACGGCTACCCGACCCATTGTGCTGAATGTCTAATGGGACTCGTGGTGCGGCGTGAGACGAGGGGCTGATGCATCCTCTCCAGATAGGGAAACAGAGCCAGGTCATATCTAGACTGGCTGTGGCCCCCTCCACTCCTCAGTGTCACTATTCCCTTCATTCCCACCAGCAGCTGCTGTAATTCTGCTTCTGAATCTCATCCCATAGACCTCAGTCACTGTTACAGACTGAATGTGTGTATCTCCCCTGAATTCATATATTGAAATCCTAACCCACACACTGAATGTGTGTATCTCCCCTGAATTCATATATTGAAATCCTAATCCTAAGGTGATTAGGTCATGACAGTGGAGTCCTCACGATGGGACTCATGCTCATATAAAAGGGACCCCAAACAGTTCCCTCTTGCTCTTTCCCCAAGGACACACAGAGTAGTAGGTGGTCTTCAACTCAAAAGAGAGCCCTCATCAGAACCCAACTGTGCTGGCACCCTGATCCCAGACTTCCAGCCTCCAGAGCTGTGAGAAATAAATGTCTGTTGTTTAGAAGCCACCCAGTCAATGGTACTTTGTTACAGCCGTCTCAACAGGCTAAGATGATCCCATTCACAGAAAGTGACTCTGGGTGAAATCTGTTGTGACAGCTGGCAGAGAGCAGCTGACCGGCCCCACCCGTCCTGTCCTTTCCACCGAAGGCCAGGGCGCATGGGGAGTTCACAGAGTCCAGCTCCTCGGAGGGCAGCCCACCGGGAGAGAGCACTTTCCTCCCATTTAAAGCTTTGGGCCACATGGCAGCCTCTTTTCTTCAAGAAAAATGTCATTTCTGTTTACCTGAGCAATAGGAACTGTCAGGACAGTCCTTCTTTTCCATTCTTGGCTTCAGTGAAGACTCCTTCCTAGCAAGTGGAAGTAAAACCTTGTGGGGGAAAAAAAATCAGACATCTCTTTGGAAGAAGCCAAAACAAGTCGTTTGACTGTCATGGGTAGTGTTCCTCTCAAACTGAGACTCTGTGGCCTCTTTCATTCCTCCTTGATTTTGTTGTAGCATGTGATGTGTGGGGAAGCTCTGAAATTGCCACTTTATTATTTTTCTTTAAAGATTCATTTCTTTATTCGGGGTGGGGGAGTGGGGCAGAGGGAGAGGGAGAATCTCAGACTCCCCATTGAGTGCGGATCCTAAATGGGGCCATATCCCAGGACCCTGAGATCATGACCTGAGCTGAAACCAGGAGTCGGCCACTCAACCAACTGAGCCACCCAGGCCCCACCAAAATCATGACTTTAAACCAGTCAATGCCAATCCAGACTTCCTCGCCCATGCAGGTCACATTTGCACTGTCATTTCCCCATCATGGTCGAATATCTTATGTCATGTGATAAACGAGACCTCCACAGGTCAGCTGGCCAGGTGTCACTAATGGGCTCATATCACAGAGGGTAAGAGAAGGGGCTGGCCTAGCTGAGGCTCATTTGAGCCCTTGCTTCTAATCCAGGCTACAGAGTCTGCTTTCCTCAGCAGCTTCTAGGCACCTCCCATTGGTGGGCACTAGGCTCAGTGCTGGGACTAGGGTTGAGTAAACCTACTCTCCAACCTCAGCAGGTCCAGTGTAGAGGGAAAGGCAGGTGTGTTTACCAATTCTAAATAGCATGGTGAAGGCTCTCATGTCGTGATGGCTCTGGGGGCAGAGGAAAGGGGATGTGGCCTTTCTGGGCAGTGGTGGGGCTGTGTAGCAGATCGGGATGCCCCTCGGACCACAGCCCCCTTCCCTACTAGGGCCCCGACTCCTAATCCCAGTCTGCTCATCTCCAGCCTCAGTCTCCCAAGCCCTGGCCCCTCCTTCCATGGCTGAGCTTCTCTCTGTGCCCTCCAGATGTGCTTCCCGCCCTGCCAGCCAGGGCTGCTGGCCCATCCCCCATCTCACTCTCTTCCCTTTGCCATCCCTTCATCTGGCCAGTCCGTGGGTCCCACAGATTTTCCCAGTGTCTACTCTGATGTCCCTTGAACCTGTCCTACTCTTACTGCTCTTGCCTTAGGAGCCCAAGCAGGGTAGAGCAGTGCTTTAGGAGCTCAGGCTGTGGATCAAACCCAAGTTAGAATCTTCAATTCGGGGCACCTGGATGGTCAGTAGTTGAGTGTCTGCTTTGAGCTCAGGTCATGATCCCAGGGTCCTGGGATCAAATCCCACATTGGGCTCCCCACAAAGAGTCTGCTTCTTCCTATACCTATATCTCTGCCTCTCTCTCTGTCTCTCATGAAGAAATAAATAAAGTCTTTAAAAAAAAAATCTTAAATCTGCTGCTTCTAGCTGGTGACCTGGAGTAGATCGTATAACCTCCCCTAGCCTTAGCCCTTCTACTTTTTGGAAATGTATTTTTTTTTTAAGAGAGATTTTATTTATTTATTCATGAGAGATACGGAGAGAGGGGCAGAGACATAAACAGAGGGAGAAGCAGGTTCCATGCAGGAGCCCGATGTGGGACTGGATTCCGGGACTCCAGGATCATGCCCTGGGCTGAAGGCAGACGCTCAACCTCTGAGACACCCAGCCGTCCCTAAACCTTCCACTTTTGAAGGATGATGGCAAATGCCGCTGCCTCACCTCCACCTCCAGCTTGGCTCCTGTCACCTTCCTCCTCGTGGAATTTTTCTGCAACAAGACCCCTCCTACTCTGCCTCCCATATCCCTCTCACCCTTCAGCCACATGCTGAACACACTTGTTTTCTCTAAGCTCCCATGGCTGTTTCGTGTTTCCTTATTTTCTCAGGTTCGGTCTGGAATGCCTACCCGTCTGTCTTCATCTAGCTCATTCCTATTCAAATTTTAAAGTCAGCTCAATTATCAGCTCCTGAAGGGAGCTTTGCTGGCTGCTTCCATCCTCCCCCCATTCTGAGCTCCCCTGGTGTCATGTCTCTATCGTGGCACCTTTTATATGCTCCTGGGCTTGGATGCGTGTGTGAACATCTTGAGGGCTTTACCTTCACAGCTCCAAACCCCAAGACTGTGCCTAGGATATAATAGATACTGGATAAATGTGAGAGGGAGGGGAGGGTGGGAGGGTGGGTGGAGGGGACTAGGGAGGGAGGAAAGGAAGAAGGAAGGAACTTCTGTGTCGACCTAACCTGAGTCCTCCCCAGTAGAATACAAGAAACTGCCAATCCCTGGCAGTTCTCTTAGAGCTCTGGCACCATAAAATTTTCCCTGGACAGGGCTCAATCATCAAAGTATCAGTTTCTCTGGGAAAAAGCAAGGAAAGAGCCAAATGAGAGAGACTTAAAGGTGTTTTTAAAATTTAAATTGGTCTAAGAGCTGCTGGAGAGGGAGGAAATGTAGATGGAGCAGATGGCGGGTGATGGACAGAAGGAGGTCTAGGAAGAGATGGAAGGAGCCCAGTATAGCCCAGCTGGGAGGTAGCCTTGGATCTGCAGAGAAAAATCTTTCTGTGAGACAGACAGATAGACATACAGACAGACAAAAGGCGGTAAGGATGAGTCCAAATGCATTAGATTTGCAGGGGAGAATGCAAGTCATGGAACTGGAAGTGTTCACTTCTAATCATGCTATTATTACTGGGTTTTGCCCTTCTTTTCTAAGATAAAGTCCAAATACTGGGAGATGGCTTTGTGCACGAGTCAGCAAACACTAAAGGGCCAGGGAGTAAACATTTTAGGCTTTGTGGGCCAATGGTTTCTCTCACTACTCAACTCTGCTCTGTGGCACAAAACATTATCTAATAGTGGGGCTGTGTTCCCATAAGATTTTATTTACAGAAGCAGACAGTGGGCCGAATGGCCCAGGGTCTCCCACCCCCAGCCTAATGTTCATGCTGTGTACTGTGGACCGTGAGGCACAAGCCCCCTGCTGCCTGCCCGTCAGACGTGTGGGCCATGTCTCTTGCCCTTAGTCGTTATGGGACAAGTCACTTAATCTTTCTGAGTTTTCCCATCTCTTAAATATCTGTTTGAAACACTGCCCTGGCTACCTCTGTGTGAGGCTCTGATGGGAGCCTGGAGGAGTCAGAGTAGCTTATTCCTCCTATTAATATTCTTCCAAATAAAGTCAGAGTAGCTTATTCCTCCTATTAATATTCTTCCAAAGAAATAAGTAGAAGTTCAAACGTTAGCTCCATGAGGCAGAGGTTTTTATTGTTGTTCCATCATTTTTTTTGTTCACCGATGGAGTCCCAACACCCAGAATAGTGCTGAGCATGGAATTGGCCTTCAAATATATGTTGAATGAGTGAATGAACAAACAAATTAATGATACAGATAAAATAAAATCTCCACTTACTCGTCCCAACAATATCACCTTCAGACAGGCCCTGGTTGGTGTCTAAGAGTCCGAAGACCTGGCCTCTGGTTCCGATTTTGCCCCCCACCCCCAAGATAAATGTCATCCTATTGCTCCCTTTTTCTGACCTGGACAGTGGGGAGCAGAGTACCTTACCCTGCTTGGTTTTCACAGGGCTTTGTGAGGGAGCTTGCAGAGACACCGGTGTGGAAGTGCAGACCTAACCTAGGAAAGGGCTTCTCAGACTTGAATGTGCACATGAATCATGGAGATCTTCTTAAATGCAGATTCTAATTCAAGTCTGGGTGGATGCAGGCATTTCTAAAGAGCTCCCAGGTCATGCTGACACTCCCAGTCTTGGGGCCACACTTCCAGTCATCAGATGTCCGTTTTAAGGCTAAAATGATGATTGGTACACAGAGTGGGAGTTCTAGGCTCTTGGACATGGTAAGCAGAGGGTTAACTGGCTGTTCAGCAATGCCCCCGTGCTGCTGTTATACTGTGCTGCTGATTTAATGACCCTACCTTTATTTTATTAGCTAAAATTCCCTGACAAAACACTAGCTAGAGTATGGAGTTTCGTGATCCTATATAGGCATTTGAGCTGGTTACCTTGGGCCTGTTCTGTATTTGTCAGCTTCCTTTATTTGCTTCTTTATTTGTTTTGGGTGTGACTAATCCCACAGAGCTCTAGGGCCTGCAGGCTTTTCCTGGGTAATTTGTAAACTGATGTGTTTTCCAGGAGACATTTAATCTGCAAATTATTGCTGGGCCTCAAAAGGCTTATTGTGTAAGAGGCACCGGGTATCTGGCCAGGGAAGAGGCTCTTATGAAGAAGCAACAGCCAAGCCAGTGGAAGGGAGCCTCTCCTCCCAGCTCTGTCCCCACATTCACTACTCAGCCATCCCATGACAACAGACACTCAAAATCCCTGCATAACGAAAATATGTCTAAACCACATAGCTCATGCGGTAGACTTTGTGGGCAGCAAAATGGTTTAGATGTTCCCTTGACATTCTTTGTAAAGGGATTTCTCCCATGCAGGTCAAGAGTGAATGATGGTTTTGAGGGTTTTTTTTTTAGTAGGTGCCCCACAATTCCTCTAAAAGAAGAAGTTGTCTGGATACCGAGAGATGGGACAGGGAGGAGAAGGGCTAGGGTCAGTGCATGGTGCCAATCCCTGAGCTACCTTTTTTATAGGGTTTTGGTAATTTTCAAAGCCCTTTAAAAATCAGGAACAATTTATTACCTCATCTGACTTGCTCAGGTTGACATAATAGTTTATGACTTTTAACCCCTTACTTTTTGGGGCCAGTTCATAGACCTAACAAGCGAGGGTACTGGAGTGACCAACAATCCTGGTTTATCCAGAATGTACCTGGTTTTAGCACTGAAAATCTCACATCCTGGGATTCCCCCCACCAACCCCTGCCAAGTTTTAAAACTTGGTCCCCAAGAGGGGGCTGAGACCTGAATCAAGATCTGTCCCACCTATTGTAAATCCTTACTTTTTCTGCCACATCAGTGTTTCTCAAACTTCAATGTATAACCCCTTGGTTAAAATATAGATTTGGTTCATTTGTCCTAGGTGAGACCCAAAGTTCTGCATTTCTAATAAACTCTGGGTAGTGCTGATGCTGCTGATCCAAGACCACACTTTGAGTGACCAGGCTCTAAGCCACTGCTTCTGTCAATGTCCTGAGGCTTAGTCATGCTTCCAGAGGCCTCCTAAATGGGCTCCCATCATCTGGGACCTGGCCTGACCATTAGCACAGAAAGCATGCCAGCACCACGGGTGATGGGCTTGCCAACTGATCAGTGGGGGCTCCAGGTGACTTCTGGTGCAGTCCACTCCCCTCTCCACTGACCCCTCTGACCCCAGAAAAGCCCTCTCTATTGCCTCCTGGAGCCTCACCCAGCTGCCCTATTCCTCTGACATTCATTGAGGAATTTCAGTGCCAAGTTTGTATCTCTCAAGGCTCTGGGACAATCCTAGGAAAGCCAACTAAAGCCTACTAGCAGACCAGCAGGTTTGTCTCCTTAAGATCGAGTAAATAGGACTGATAGATTGTGTTAGGGACTTTATGCTTTGGGAACTGACCTAATTACTTATAATTAGGGATGCTTCTGCCTGTCATTAAATATATGTCTGGCTATAATGTTAAATTCTGGGGTCCCTTGCCATTCCAGCACAACTATTTTGGGCTCATAGAATGGAACCATCTGCTTTAAATTTCCTAAGATTGGAGGTAATGTTGGCACTGACATACTTGGTTATGGGGCACTGTATCTGTACCATCCAAGACCTGCCAGACATTGTCCCTCATATTAGGCCACACTTAAGTACTCATCAACAAAGACTGAAAGGCATTATATCTCAAAAGCCACAAGGTGTCTCAAAAGCCACAAGGTGTCTCACTTAAAGTGTGGGCCAAGACCAACTTGGTCTTGAGTTCAGACCCTGATGCTTACAAGCTGAGCAACCTTGGACTGACTGCATCCTGAGCCTCAGCTCTCCATCTATAAAATGAGTGTATTAATGTCTAGCACAGCACCATGATAAGGATGGAAGATCACACATGTGAGATGTCTGACACATAAGAGATACCAATGAATACTGCCATGACCACCATTATAATTATTCTGCCCTCAAGAAACTGGGCCTAGAAAATGAGTATTTGGTCTTAGTGGGGTGGAGAGGGCAGGTGGGAACCATCAGATTTGAGAATTGCCGGCAGAGCCTGGGACAGCCTGGTCAAGAACAGACACAGCAATACTCTGTTTTCTTCTGTCCTGCTCTCCTGCATATCTACTAAGAAACCATGTGGACTTGTCCCCACAGGCACAGGGAGAATTTGGATGGATGATGTCGCCTGCAAGGGCACAGAAGATACCATTTTCCGCTGCAGCTTCTCCAAATGGGGGGTGACAAACTGTGGGCACGCTGAGGATGCTGGCGTGACGTGCAACAGACACTGAGAGTGGGCACAGTCCACAGTCCACAGTCCAGACCCTGCCGCCGAGCCTCCTTTCTGCATTCCTGGGGTGGGGGCATCACTTGGGACCTTGCCTCTGCCCTGCTCAGTCCAGCACCTCCCTAGCCCCAAATCCCTGTCCCAGGCCCATAGTGGCCTGTCGTCATTCTCCTCTTGGACATCAGCTCCAAAGTGCAACTCTGGGATCTACTGCCTGTCTCTCCCTTCTACCAGGGGTCCTGCATGTGAAGCCCTGGTCAACTGGATCGTCATTTTGCTCAGCCTTCTAAATACCACGCATCAGGACTCTATATCCATGCTCCCCTTTGGTCTGTCAGTTAAATGCTGAGAGTATGCTGGAGAGAAATGCAGCAGGTGGAGATGAGAGGGAGGCCCGACAGGTCATTTACTCTTCAGATAATTCCCTTAGTTAGGCCATGAGTTTTGACATCTTCCTTCCCAGCAAACGATTCATTCTTCCCTCTTTGCCTCTGTACACCATTTGTTAATTCGGAGAAGTGATATAGAGGATGGGCCAGCTGTAGGAATGAGAGGGAAATGCACATCACCTGCAGGAGACAGCCTGGGTTTGGAGAAGGGGAGCAAAGCTGACATTCATTAAGTGACTACCGTGTGTACTACGTAGCATCTTGGCTGCTAAATTCATTTATCTACTTTGCAGCACTCCTACAAGGCTTGCTAGCTTGGGTAAGACCTTACCTCTAGATAGCACTCAGCTGACCCATTCACCTGGCCAGAAAGCCAGAAGACTGAGAATGACTGTAACCATTTTTTTCTACCTGAATCCTAGCATGTCTTTACTACACTTGGGCAGGGAGCTCAGGTACAAAACATGTGGGATTACAAGATTCCATACTTCAAACCTACAGAGTATAAGATCAGATATGGACTGGCTTCCAGGCCAACCACCCATATTGGAGGAAAGCTGATTTGGAGGATGACAAGGGGTCTGTCCGGTGAGACTGAGACCAACACTCAGTCACCTGGCAGTCAGGGTTAAAACCAAGTGACTTGTGTCTCAGAGCTGTTTGAAGGTGATGATATTGAACCTTCCAGGCCTCTTTGGGTGTGCTCCTGTGATCAGAACACATGTCCTGATGGATCCTGTATGGAAGTGAGGATTCCCTATAACCTCTAGCAGAAGAAGGAGCCACAAGGCTCTGCCAGTCCTCAATCTACACCCTTCTCCTAGCAACAGGGGGATCATATTCAGCTTTTGACATGAGGAGGAAGTCAAACCAGACCATATACATGTTCTAGGACTGGGGAAAGTACGTGGTAGAAAGTGAGCACAGACTTACCTCCTTTGGGGGAGTCACAGACTGAGTCAGGCCTTGGATACACAAATTCCTGTTACATGGGGGTGAGCATCGGCTTAGCTGGGGGAAGTGACACCTGGGACCCTCCAGGTACAGGACCAGCAAAGCTCCTGGCTGACAACTAAACCAATATGTACTATTGGTGTTTTTTTGCTTACAATATGCTTGTTATCCATTAATGTCCTAAAGATCAGAGACTCTCCTGATCAATTGCTATGTTTACATAACACGCATGTACTCATGCATCTTTTCCCAGAACCAATATATGTATGCATATATAAACATGGCACTCTTTACTACATAGCTCAGAGCATTACAAAGTTTGCATTAAAAAAAGAAATAGTGAAGGTGAGAGATGTCACACTGAAGGAAATAAATTCCGAGTCAGTTCTGGCAAAGAATCCAGTTATCCCATTGATGGAGACCCACATAACTTTCTTACTTGGTCTTTTCACAAGTCTTGTTTTACATCAAATAAAAATCACAATGATAAGTGTTTGAACCTTAATCAAAAAGTCTACTAGTTTACATATTAAGAGGACATGGAAATAACCATGGACCTGGATTTCAGGGACTAAAGGAAATTAGGCCTGGCCTAAAATACATCAGACCTTTTGTAAGAAAGAATTTCAATAAAGCTAAAAACATGTCACTAACAAGTTTTGCATCACATTCTTTCTCCTGAAATTCTGGTGAGTGTGGGGTGGGCTGGTAAAAACTTAATGGTTTGACTATTTCTCACTGGGGATTGTTAGAATGAGCAGCTTATTAGAAGCTGCCTTCAAGTGTACCTGGTTGGCTCAATTGGCTAAGTGTCCTACTCTTGGTTTCAGCTCAGGTCATGATCTCAATGTTGTGAGATTAAGCCTTGTGTCAGGCTCTGCTCTGGATGTGGAACCTGCTTGGGATTCTCTCTCTCCCTCTCTCTCTCTCTGCCCCTTTCCCCCACTCAATCTCTGAGAGAGAGAGAAAGAGAGGAAATGAGAGAGAGAGAGAGAGAGAGGAGCTGTCTTCATACTTCTGGAGGACAAAAAAACACAGTCTAGACCAAGAACATGGTGGAACATGACATCTCAAGCCTTAGTAGGTGACCTAAGGAAAGAGTCCCAGGCAACAGAAAAATCAAGGCCTGGCTTATAAGAGAATTGCATTTTTATTCAATCAAGGAAAGAACACCTATTTATTTATTCACATCTCCAGAGTTCATACTTGGGAATGAAAGAGTGCTCTCTATAATTATCTTCCCTCTGTCATAACCAGAACATTGTCCAAAGTGCTTGAGACATATACTTTCAAACATTGAACAACATGTAACACAAGACTGTGATACTTGAGAAAAGGCAACACGGTGAAGTGAGCTTACCCTGGCTTAGGCTCTCTGTCAGACTGTGGCACAGTGGAGGGGAGCCCTGAGTCCAGAAATATTACTAAGGCAAAGAAACAAAGATCGAAAGTAGAGGAGGCCAAGATGGCTGGAATTTGCAGGGCACAGTGCTCAAGAGTAGAGAACTATACAAATAAAGTTCCAGAAACGGGTTCCCTTGACTTGTCAGCTGAATAACAACCTGTGTGAACCCCTATGCAGCCAGCTAAAACAACTTCTGAGGAAAGTATCATTATCAGAGCTCAGGCAGAGCTGAGAATTGTTCAAGTTCCCTCCAGGCAGAGTGGGAGAATCACCTAGGGGACTGAAAATCCTTCTTGAAAGCTCTTTAGCCTATTCTATTTGGGGGGATGGGGTGTGAGCTGATGGAGAGGGATAAATAGAGCTATAGTCAAACCCCATCTAAGTTCCAAAAAAGAGTGGAAGGTGGAGGGAAGGGAGAAGAAAAGGAGGAAAGGGAGAGGGGTATTCTAAGGGTTGAAAGGAGAACCATTTTAAGAAGAGAAACACAAGTGATTCACACATTTGACATTTGCTAGAAATGTTCTCTCTTTAAATCTCAGGTTGAATTCGTAGGTTTTTAGGATGGTTTGAAAGTTATCTAGGTAAGTTGGTGGGGCCAGGTGAGTTGAGGACACCTACTCCTCCGCCACCTTGCCCCCCCATAGATCTATTTGATATAAATGTGACTGTCATAAAACAATGCAACTGGAGAAACTAAGGGGTGCTTATGGTAGAGAAAGTTTGGGCTCCTTTCCACATATCAAGTCCACCGTGGTGGTTGGTTTAACTACAGCACACAAGGGCCCCAAGGATTGGTTCTCACCAGCATCTGAAGTGAGACAGTGGTTCCCTATAGACATTAGACAGGGCAGAAAAAGAAGAGTCATTGTCCTTCTCCATGAGGGCTGTTCCTACTACTGGCTAAGTTAAGCTGAGGATGAGCAACAAAGAAATAATTCCAGAAAAATAACGAACATCTTTAATAAACATTTCCTGGCTCCTTGCCTGGCCCACTTCCCTCTCAGGCTCACCTGTGTCCACACCAGGATGCTCTCTTATCCCACCTTGTGTTCTCCTCAGTGAGCAGAAGAGTGTGCTGGCTCTGTTGTCTACCAGGGTTTCGGTCACTGGGAGCTTGTTCTAGATCTAAGGGAAAGAACTCTCCCTCCTTTGACGGATGGATTCAGATCCATTTTACCAGGCACAGTGAAGCACCTTCCTCTCTGAGGAAACTCATGCTCTACCCACAGGAGAATGGTTCTGACAGTTCTTCCCTTCTATCATGTGCATGTTTATTGAATAAGTATTCACTGAGTATCGACTGTGTGCAAGGCCCCATACTACGTAAAAGGGATAGAGTGGTAGACCAGACCCATTTGGTTCCTGCCCTCACTGAGCTTCCATTCTAGCTTTTATCCTTTTAACAGGCTTTCAGCATGACATTAACCATAAGAGAATAATAATGTCCCACAGCAAGAAATGTACAGGTAAAAGGGACAGTGGTTGCCTGCCAAACTATTTATGCAAAACACAAATAGCCCAATTGTCTAAAAAATTATCTTCTTGCTAGTGAGATGACAGTAGCACGGGTGGCTCTGGTAATGCAAATAATCATCAATAGGAAATGGGGATGATTAAACAGTAAGTATACATGCCCATTCATTCAAAATAGTAGTAGATAAGCAGAAATCATATGACAGATACCACGGCTAACACCCCTTGAGCACTTGCTGTGTGACAGACGAGAATGGACTACCTGAATTTTTATAACCACTGGTTCTGTTCTAATCATCCCAATTCTGTAGGGGTGGAGGGGAGACTCAAGTCCTGGGAGGATCATACAGTGAAGAAGGTAGGACTTGAATCCAAGAAATCTTTTTTTTTTAATTTTTATTTATTTATGATAGTCACAGAGAGAGAGAGAGGCAGAGGGAGAAGCAGGCTCCATGCACCGGGAGCCCGATGTGGGATTCGATCCTGGGTCTCCAGGATCGCGCCCTGGGCCAAAGGCAGGCACCAAACCGCTGCGCCACCCAGGGATCCCATGAATCCAAGAAATCTTAAACTAACACCCTACATAACATAAGCAACCATGGTACTAGAATTCTAAGAGGTTAATCTGAGGAAGGGGGAAATGGAGACCATAGACCAATTATGAATACATCATATTTCATCCCTTGAGTCCTGTTAACCTGCTTACTGAAATAAACCATTGTGTATTCCATTATTTACGCTAAAATGATCCTGATGCATTGCCTATAGAGTGAATGCACAGCAAGCCCTTTAACAAGGATCAACCTAGGGCACCTGGGTGGCTCAGTTGGTTAAGTGTCTGCCTTCAGTTCAGGTCACGATCCCAAAGTCCTGGGATCGAGCCCCCCATCGAGCTTCCTGCTCAGTGGGGAGTCTGCTTCTCCTTCTCCCTCTGTGTGCTCTCTCTCTCAAATAAATAAGTCTTTTAAAAACAACAAGGACCAACCCGCACAGAACAATCACAGACTCCCTCTGACCCCCAATGGACTCCCTAAAGAGGCTGCAGTCTCTTTCTTTCTGGCCAGTTCTGGGAGATCTCAGCTTTTCAGAGCCTCTAAAGGAGTTAGAGGAGGGTGAAGTTATGGAGTTGCCAGGGTCTGTTCTCCTGCTACATCGTAAAAGGAGTCCATCTGTGATTCCAAATACTTTTGGTGTCTTTCTTTCTCTTCCCATTCTACTCAGCACCTTTGGTCTTTCTGAAATGATTCCTAAAATCTTCCCTCATTGCTAAGGATTTCAACTCAAATCATGTTTGGGTATAATTTCTTCCCTCTCTAAAATCATTTGACATATTTATTTATTCTTGTATCACAAATCAGAGTGAAAAGGAAGCTGTTTGACATTTGGAGCTGTATAACTTTATGCAAAGAAGAATGTCAGGCGGGTCCCACCACAGCACACGCTAATCATAGCAAATGGGGTAACATTTCCCGAATCAAGATTAAGAGCCATTTACTATTTACACTGAACAGATTTCCTGAGCTATCCAGTTCCAATCAGACAAATATCTTATTCCTTCCATGTGTTTCTGAAACATACACAAGCATAGAAAACCAGAAGGTTAAGAAATCTTTCTCAAAGAACAGTCTTTTGAGGTCCTTCACAAGTAGCTTATTACTGGGCAGTAGAAGGCAAAGGGCAGATGGGATGTCTCCCTATTTGCAGAGAGAGGGGTGTGTCAGAAGAGAGTGGGGTCAGAGTAGGACATGAGGTTAAATAGTGGGGAAAAGAGATGATTTATGTTTTGCAAGTAAACCAATGAAACCAACTTTTGTGGAGCTTTTTATGAGGAATTAGAGTTTCAAGTTGGGGACCAGAAACTTCAGATTCTGTGATATAAACAAACCCAGAGAAAGGCGATTGGAATCAGGGCTCTTATTATAAATAGTGGGAGTCCCTCTCCTACAGTCACCTTCTTATCTACAATTGTAGGCATTAGTATCTTCTGACAGCAAGATTCCTCATTTAAGAAACAAGACGTTTGAGTATGTGATTTGGTGGTTGTTCCATATACTTAGTTGATCAATCTCCTCGGACACTGTGCCTTCATTTAGGGTCATCTCTCACCAGCTGCCTTATATGGGCTTTTGCTGGAACAGCACAGCCAATATAAAATCCAGAGCCATCAACTTTCTACTCATTCCAGTAAATGTCAAGCCAGAAGTCTTTATTAGAACAGTTACATATAATATTTGCTCATTTTACTAAAATGATGACCAAAACAAACATTTGATAAGTTGTCCAGTCATGTACCTACTTGTCTGTGTGACATAATGCCCATTCAAACTCTAACCTTTTACAAAGATTCCACTGTAATTCCTTGCTTCTTTTAGAGCCCAAAGCCCTGTACCTGTGTTCCTTTGTCCTTTGCAATGGCCACTCTGAACATCTGTGTCAATGTTTAAGTTAGTTGTCTCTTAGCTCCAAACCCATCGTAACACTCATCTTTGAGATACTCTGTGATACTTCACAAACTGTACTGCTTTGTGGGCTCCCTGTTGCACTGCACCAGAGGGAGACTGTGAGGCTGAAGAACAGAGAAGGGCTTGATCCTGTCTGCTCCTCTGCTGTTCCAGGGAGAAAGCTGTTCCCTCTGTGAGCTTTCCTTGTTTGCTTGAGGTTTCTGTAAACATCACACCAGCATGACATTTTCCTGTAACATCCAAGGTGCCTTCCTGTAGCATCAGCTGGATTCAGACTGCAGTTTTCCCAATGCTTGTGGAACCAGCCTCCTCATGC